GCCGCGTCTACGACGTGTCCTCCGGCCGCAGGCATTACGAGCCTGGGGCTCCCTATAGCGGCTTCGCAGGTACCAGCGCGGCGGCTCGTGCCCTCTCGTGCTCGGACGCAGGCGGGTAGCCGCCTGTGCGGCATTCATTCATTCATTCATTCATTCATCTGCTGTTTTCCTCCCCGTATTCATCAGGCCGGCATGGGGGCCGGGCTCTGCCGCTCGGCCTTCCTAGTCTCGCTGACTCGGCCAGCAGTTAGCGGCCTCTCGTCTCCATGTCCTTCTTCCTGACTTACGGGGAGAAGCGCGCCTCCTGCCTCTTGTTAGTTACCCATTACCCACCGGCAGAAGCCCCCGAGGGGCACCTGCTTTGTGCCACACTGCGTGGCTCTCGGGGCGCAGAGATGAAGGAGACCCTGCTGACGCCAATTGTCTCTTCAATTCCTCCGGATCCACCTTTCCCCTAAAAGTAGTGCATTTGGCTTGAGTAGGTCCTGCTTCCGGCACAGATGCACTTGTCTGCCTGCCTTAAAGAAGATTCTGAGGTTAGAGCGCTGGGCAAGAGCCTGGCCACCTTTTGCAGCCCTTCAGTACTCAGCTGTGCGTATGTTATGCCTCAAAGAAACGTGTCGGTTTAAGTTTGCTCTGCTGACCCTGTTTTACAGCCGAGGGGATTAAAGGATGTGATTTGCCTAAAGCCCTCACAGCTAACAGGACTTAGACCAGTGGTTCTCAACCTTGGCTGCACATTAGAATCACCTGGGAATCTTTTTAAAATCCTGATTTCTGGGCCTCATCCTCCGGAAATTCTGTTTCTTTGTTATGGGGTGGGACCACAACATTAGTAACAAAGAAACAGCATTTCTGGAGGATGAGGCCCAGAAATCAGGATTTTAAAAAGATTCCCAGGTGATTGTAATGTGCAGCCAAGGTTGAGAACCACTGAGTTAGACGAAAACCACCAGCTTATTACTTTTAGATGTTGACTTACCAGCCCCGAGGAATGACCACCTATCAGGTTTAAAGAGGGGGAAAAAAATGCAGAGCAAGCTTAAGGCCAGTGACAAGGCTGATATTAAATGAGCATTTTCCCACTTGTTCGTTATCTTAGGGAAATTGGGAAGCTGCCTCTGGTACTTAAATACAAGCCACTTCCCTGTTTCTAGGGAGAACTTAAGAGACAGAAGAAGCATATAAAGGGAATCAAGTTCAGTTGGTGTTGCCAAGCTCCTCAAACAGTTGAGCAGGGGAAGTGGAGCTGGGACTGGAGTCAGGGGTTTTAGTTTACCTGCGAGGAGAGGGCACTTTTGGGTGCACTATCCTGCCCCACCCTGAAGCAGCTGTCATGGCTACATCCACAAGTGTGAGCATAAAACCCTCTGCTTCTGGGGTGGTGTTTGCTCTGCTGTCTACAGAGTTCCTCGGTGCCCATTATTCATTCAGCGTCCATTTATTGACCACTAATGTAGCCTGCCTTGTGCCAAAGATTACAACATGCTCCCCACTGCCCACACAGGCTAGAAGAGAAGCAGATTAGGTTCGTCTATTCATTTGTTCAGTCAATCTTTTTATTACCTTTTATTGATATAATTCATACACTATGAAATCTACCCCCTTTAACATGTATAATTCAGTGGTTTCTAATATAGTCAGAAAGTTGTGCAGACATTGCTAATTCCAGAACATTTTTATCGAACCCCCTACAAAAAAAACCCCACATCCATTAGCAGTCACTCCCCATTCCCTTCCATCCCCCAACCCTCGACAACCACTATCCACTTTCTGTCTGGGCATTTCATATAAATGGAATCATACATGTGGCTTTTGTGACTGGCTTCTTTCACTTAACACAATGTTTCCAAGGTTCGTCCGTGGTATATTAGTATGTACCAGTACTCCATTCCTTTTTTTTTCCCCCCTCACCAAGGATATTTTTCCATTGATTTTTAGAGAGGGGGAAAGACAGAAATATCAATGTGAAAGAAACACGTTGATTGGTTGCCTCCTACCAGGGCCAGGGCCAGGGAGGAGCCTGAAACCGAGGTACATGCCCTTGGCTGGAATTGACCATTCTGTCCACAGGCCAACACTGTACAGAGCCAAACCCGCTAGAGTTCCATTCCTCTTTATGGTCAAACTAGCGGCCTGGTGCATGAAATTCGTGCACTGGGGGGGTGGGGTCCCTGCACCCTTTCACAGTCCGGGAGCCTTCAGGGGATGTCTGACTGACAGCTTAGGCCCGCTCCTAAGCCGACAGTCAGACATCCCTTAGTGCTGCCGCAGATGTGGGAGAAGCTCCCACCACCACTGCTGCACTCGCCAGCCGTGAGCCTGGCTCAGGGCTTCTGGCTGAGCAGCGCTCTCCCTGTGGGAGCACACTGACCACCAGGGGGCAGCTCCTGCATTGAGCGTCTGACCCCTGGTGGTCAGTGCACATCATAGCGACTGGTGGTTCTACTGTGTGGTCAATTTGCATATTAGCCTTTTATTATATAGGATTATTAAATAGGATAATATTCCATTGTATAGATATACCACTTTTGTTTATTCATCATTTGTTGGAAATTGGGTTGTTTTCACTTTTACCTATTATGAATAATGCTAAAACATTCATGTGCAAGCTTTTTTGTAGGCATGTTTTCAGTTCTCTTGAGTGTAGAATTGCCAGGTAACACTAGGTATTATTATTATTAATAATTTTGATCCTCACTGGAAGCTATGTTTTATTGCTTGTAGAAAGAGAGGAAGGGAGGGAGGGAGGGAGAGGGAGAGAGAGAGACATCCATATCGGTTGCCTCCCCTATGCACCCTGACCAGGAATTGAACCTGCAACCTAAGTATGTGCTCTGATTGGGAATCGAACCCGCAACCTTTTAGTGTATGGAGACGACGCTCCAACAGGCTGAGCCACCCAGCCAGGACCCAATCATTAAACATCAATGATGAGAGAATCATTAATCGGCTGCCTCCTACAGGCTCCTCTATGTTTAACTTTTTGAGAAACTTCCAAATTGTTTTCTAAAGTAGCTGCACTATTGTGCATTCCCATCAGTGTATTAGAGTTTCAGTTTCTCCACTTCCTCACTGAATGGTTGTCTTTTTTATTATAGTCATTTTAGTGGGTTGAAAGTGCTATCTCATTGTGGTTTTGATTATTTGAATTTCCCTAATAACTAATTTGCTTGTTGATCATTTGTATATCCTCCCTGGAGAAATATCTATTCAAGTTCTTTGTCCATTTTTTAATTGGGTTGCCTTTTTATTTTTGAGTTGTGAGAATTCTTTATATATTCTGGATACTGATAAATGATTTGCAAATATAGGATGTCCCAAAAAATGTATACACACTTTGAATTATTCATTCCAATGGGTTAAATCTGAAAAGAAACATCAATTGAGCTATCAGAAAAAAGAGTGTGTATACATTTTTGGGGGACACCATGTATTTTCTCCCATTCTGTAGGTTGTCTTTTTACCTTTTTTTTTTGTAACTTGATATTTTTAAAAATATTTTTAATTGATTTTAGAGAGAGGAGAAGGGAGAGGGAAGAGAGAAACATCAAGTGGTTGCCTTCTCCCTTGAGCATCCCAGGTACCTTAACTAGGACAGAACCCACAGTCAGGAATCGAACCAGTGACCTTGCGGTGCACAGGACAACGCACAAGCTACTGAGCCACACCCATCAGGGCTCTTGGTCAGGGCTCTTTTCACTTTCTTGATAGTGTCCTTTAAAGCACAAAATTTTTTAATTTTGATCAAGTTCAACTAATTTTTTTCTTTGGTTGCTTGTGCTTCTGGTGTCCTGAGAAACGATTGCTAAATCCAAGGTCACAAAGACTTTCACCTATGTTTTCTTCTAAGAATTTTATAGTTTTTAGTTCATAGATTCAGCTCATTGATCTATTTTGAGTTCATTTTACATATGGTGTAAGGATCTAATTTCATTCTTTTGCATGTGGCTATTCAGTTGTTCAAGCACCGCTTATTGAAAAGACTATTCTTTCCCTCTTGGAATTGCCTTGACAGTCTTTTTGAAAATCAATTGGTTTCATTCAGTCAATACTTATTGAGAATGTACTAAAGAACAGACACTACCAGACACTGAGTAATCAATACTAAAGGAGTTTTGTGTTTCCCTTATACAATTTGCTGACAGGTAAAAGACAAAAAGTCAGTAGTTGTCACATACTTAATGAATTATTTTTGTGATGAGTGTAAAAGGGAACACACACTGCTGTGACCAGAGGCCAGGGAGCACAGAGGGAAGGCAAGGTTGGTGGCAGCTGGTGCAGAGTTCTGAATGGCATGTTATGGAATTTTGATATCATAGAGCAGAAGGAAGTCACTGAGAATTTTTAAGCAAGAGAATGACTTGATCAATTTGTGTTTAAAATAATCTAAGTGTTGTATGAAAAATCGATTAGTAGGGAAAGAATGACTATATAAAGAACTGCTAGGGGTTTATTGTAGTTCAGATGAAAAATGATGACAGCCTGGGCTTGCTTAGTGGGAGATGGAGAAAGGTAGATATAAGAACTATTTAGGTTATGGGATTTGGGGACTGATTGGATGTGAGGGATGAAGGAGATGCCAAGGACTGCATTTCTGGATTGAGCAACTGGTTGATATTTACTGAGATAGGGAATACTAGAACAGATGCATTTTCCTAGGGCTGGCGTGCTGATGACCATTAGTTGAGTGTGAACATTTTGAACTTGTGATGACATGTAAGTGATGCTGAGTAGACAATTGAATATATAGGTCTGGAGCTCAAGAGAAGTCTGAGCTAAAGATACACACTTAGCAATTTTTGGTTTAGAGGTGGTATTTGAAACCACGGGAGTGGATGAGATTGTCAAGTGGAGGGTGTGGATGGAGTAGAGGAAGTGGACAATGATTGATCTCAGAGGCGGTAGTAAATGCGCTAGAGAGGTAGGAGGAAAACCAGAGTGTAGTGTCATGGAAGCCGAGGGACATGTCAGCTGTACTGAATGTTGCTGAAAGTAGATGAAAGAATGTGATAAATGCCAAAATGTGTGTCCAAGGTCCACGAGCATCTGTGACAGAGGAGGGGGATTATATTTGGGGGTGGACAGGGGGGTTTTCAGATGTTTCTCAGGAAATAGATTCTTGAGTTGGTGGTACGATGTCAGCGACTTATAAGTTAACCGACTGGAAACATCTCTGCTGCAGGCCGAGACGCATCCAGAGCGTTTGTGACTGGGGACTACTCTGAAGCAGGCCTTGTGGATGATGTGTCTGACTTGTCACTTTCTGAGATGCTGACACTTCAAAATTGGCTATCATTCTATGAGAAGAATTACGAATTTGTTGGTAGGTATTCCACAGGCCATTTCCAAAGATCTCATTTCTTTTTCTTGCAATTTTTTAACGGACTAGAATTCTTTGGGGCTTGGACTCAAGGTTAAAATCTGAAAAATACCTATGGATTTTTCACCTTAAACTCTAGTTGGGAGTGTGGCAGTGAGTCCCAGAAGGAAATGGATGGGGCACCTGGTCCCTCACTTTTAATCTTGGGAAAGTATTGCCTGCCCATTTGCTTTGGCCTCTGTTGCCCCTAAGCCAGTTGCCTGCACCACGCTTAACCAACCAGCTCCAGGAGGGCAGCTTTCTTGTCTCACAGCGTTCCGGGCATCTGGCTTCAGCAGGCAGGAAGGCTTGAAGCCCAAGTTCGTGTGCAGTTTTGACAGATATCCTTGTACTTTGTCCTCTAAGGAGAGAGACATTAACCTATGTCCATCCTTAATGAATTGTGTCCCGGGGGGAAGTTATGCTAATCAAACATGTGTTAAAGCTAGTTGTGTAGGGCACTGCCCTTGCTGCTGACTAGTGAGGCAGGAGGGAATTCGCCTTTTAAATGGGAAGACACCTAGAGAAATGTTAGTCACAGAAACTGGGGTGGTTGGAGCCCCTTTTTCCCATTGATTGCAGCCCCAGCCTCTCACGGGAGCCCCACTTGGACCCAGCTGACTTCCTGAGGAACGTCAGTGTCCTTTCACCTTTGGAACAGGTCTACATGGGAAGTTCCTCCTCCACCCCGCAGGCCTCTGAGTGATGCTTCTGTCATTACTACGTGGGTTACCTTTTCTGAAAACCTTGCCATTTGTACTAACTCCTCTGCTCCCTACACATCCAACTTGCCAAGGCTTTTTTAGTAACTTCTAAGGTTTTGTTTTCATGCCCACCCTCCTCCACACCCGCCACTGTTGGCCTTTGTCATCCCAACCTGTAGCACCCCTTCTCTGTTTCACCCAGGCTGCCCCAGTTCATCCCTTAGACCACAGCCATGTCTGCCATGGAAGGAACTGGCCTCTATCCATCTGCCCTTCCAAAGGCTTGGTTCTCCCTTTTCCCACGAGGTTGCTGAACCAAGGCTGAAACATTACTGGGTTAATAAGGAAAAGAAAACTCAACACAAAAGAGTAAGGGTGGAGTCCTGTGAGTGGGCAAAGAATGCCAGACCAAATGTGTCATACTGGTGTTTGGTGAGATGAGTGAACTAGTCTTATTTGAAGAGTGTTGATGTATGTGAGGAGGGTGGGGGTCATATGGTTGGAAATGCTTCAGAAGGGTTATAGTTAAGTCGGGATATGTTTGAATATCTACTATGCATAAGCTCTGGTACTGATCCTCGTGGGGACCAGGGATGAGCTGAGTGCAGTGCCTGCCTCTGTTAGCTCACTCTATAGGAGGGGGTTGTGTTAGGCTCTTACAGGGCATCAGAAACCCTCAGGACACATCCAAGGATGAATGTGTATATATGGGTGCACAGTGAGGTGAAGACAACCAGAAAGCCATATTGGCAGCCATATGGCCAGGCCTCCAGGGAAAATGAGATGTCTTTTGTTGTTTTCTGGATATAGCACCGACTTAGAGACTCAGCCAATGGTGATCACCATTCTCATGAAGCAGCTACTACAACTCTCTCTATTGCCTCTACTACTGCTGCTGCCCTCTCTTTGGGTCGCATGCCTAAAAGCCACAAGATAGCCTGTCACCATGCATAGAGACCTTCAATAGGAGAAATTCTTGTGCCAGGCCAACTCTAGACTGCAGGCCTGGGACTAGGGCCCTGTACCCTTCATTTAATCTAACAAGCATGTAAAATGAAAGCTCTGTACTGAGCTGTTTTGAGTGCTGGGGCCTCATGGTAGGGAGAGATAGATCATAAATAAGTAAGCAGATCAAGCAAGTCCAGATAGTACTGTGAATAAACTAAAACGCTAATGCAGTGCAGGTTTGGGAGGGTGTGGCCCCTTTAGAGAAGAAGGTCAGGGAGGCCTCTTAGAGGAGATGACAGATAAGGTGAGACCTGGAAGGCGGGAAGGAGCAGCCATGCTGAGATCTGGACAGAGCCTTTCAGGCTGAGGTAAAGGCAGCTAAACATGGTCAAGGACTAGGCAGGAGGCCAGTGGGCAGGAGCCGGCAGGAAATGAGGGAGGGACAGCTTGAGAAGAGGCTCAGAAGGCAAAGGGAAGCCAGATGCTTATAGAGTGTTGGAGGCTTTGGTAAGAAGTTTGTACTTTATCCACGTGTTTTAGGAAACCATTGCAGGGTTTAAACTTAGCATGGAGGTGACATGATAATCATTTTTTCAAATGCTCACCTAGCTGCTTTGTGGAGAAAGAATTTTGGGAAGGGATGAGCTGAGGGAGACACACCAGTTGGGAGGCTATTGTAATCCAGAGTTTGGATTAGGGTGGTAGCAGTAGAAATGGAAAAGGGCAGAATTAGGGAGTTGCTAATGGATTGGACATGAGCACATGGAAGCATGCATTTAGATATACAGGAGGGGGTATCAGAGAGACCCAAGGCTCCTAATCCAAATAACAAAAGCCAGAAGTGATACAAATACAACTGGAAACGTCCGGATGGGGAGCTGAACTTGAGAGGAAGAACTGAATCTTGGGCACACTCTATGTAAGTGCTCTGGGATCTAAGTGCTCAGGGCCTGGAGAGGTTGGACAGACACAGCTGGGCAAGTATACACAGCTACCTCGTCCTCCCTGGTCAAACCTTCTAGAAGTGCTTTCTGCTGCTTCTCTTGCCCTGTGACAGCCACTTACACTCAGGACTTGAAGATGAAAGTTCCTGCCCCTGAGGAGACCTGAGCCCTTTGTAGCTTTAGCCTACAGGCTCTCCGACCACTTGCTGGCTGCTGCCATAGCTTAGACCATTACAAATTCTGGCATGGATTTTAAACTAAAACCAATTTCCACCCAATATGTCCATAGGACTGAGCAAGAAGAGAATGGGGGAGGGGGGGCAGCGCAGGGAAGAGAGCATGTGCGGGCTCAGAACCACTCACTAGTTTCAACCCACTGTCCTCATCCATAGGTGCACGATTTTTGTCCAGTCTCTTCCCGCATCTCCCATTCCCCTTTCCCCGCCAAGAATAGTCAGTCCATTCCCTTTCTATGTCCCTGATTCATTATAATCACCAGTTCATTCTGTACATCAGATTATTTATTCACTTGGTTCTTAGATTCACTTGTTGATAGATGCATGTTTGTTGTTCACAATTTGTATCTTTACCTTTTTCTTCTTCCTCTTCTTAAAGGATACCTTTCAGCATTTCGTATAATACTGGTTTAGTGGTGATGAACTCCTTTAGCTTTTCCTTATCTGTGAAGCTCTTTATCTGACCTTCAATTCTGAATGATAGCTTTGCTGGATAAAGTATTCTTGGTTGTAGGTTCTTGGTATTCAGCACTTTGAATATTTCTTGCCATTCCCTTCTGGCCTGCCAAGTTTCTGTTGAGAAATCAGCTGACAGTCGTATGGGTATTCCCTTGTAGGTAATTGAGTCTCTTTCTCTTGCTGCTTTTAAGATTCTCTCTTTGTCTTTTGCTCTTGGCATTTTAATTATGATGTGTCTTGGTGTGGTCCTCTTTGGATTCCTTTTGTTTGGGGTTCTCTGCGCTTCTTGGACCTGTAAGTCCATTTCTTTCACCAGGTGGGGGAAGTTTTCTGCCATTATTTCTTCAAATAGGTTTTCAATATCTTGCTGTCTCTCATCTTCTGGCACCCCTATTATTCTGATGTTGGTACGCTTGAAGCTGTCCCAGAGGCTCCTTACACTATCTTCGTATTTTCGGATTCTTTTTTCATTTTGCTTTTCCGGTTGGGTGTTTTTTGCTTCTTCGCATTTCAAATCTTTGACTTGATTCTTGCGCTCCTCTGGTCTGCTATTGGGTGTCTGTATAATATTCTTTATTTCAGTCCGTGTATGCTTAATTTCTAGTTGGTTCTTTATCATAGCATCGAGGGTCTCATTAGTTTTCGTGACTCTCTCCTCAAGTTTATTGACAGCTTCTAGCACATTTTTGCAAGCCCTCAAAATTGCGATTTTTAGCTCTATATCCTCCATTTCTGTCATGTTTTTTTGTCTCCGCATTTTTTATGCTTTCTTGGTGCACCCCCTAGTGGTCTTTGTGCGCAGTCTTGTTCTAGTTGAGCCTTGATTGTTGTAGTTAATACTAGAGGGATTTGACCACCAGGCCGACTGGCTGTGTGAATCAGCTGTGTCTGCCGCGGAAAACTTCTGTCCTCTGGGGAGGTGCTAATCTAGCCTTTGCCTGAGGCGATCTGGCAAATGGCTCTGCGCAGGGCTTGGGCGGGGCGGGCTCAACAGGGCGGGCGGGCGGAGGGAGCGGTTATGGCCCCTCTCAGTCCCGTTCCCAGAGGCTCTGCTTCTCAGAACCCCCGGAACCGCTGCAAACCTCGGAGGGAAAGCTGCCTTCCAACTGATGCCAGACACTCCCGCTTCTCCCGTTTGGGTCCGAGTCCCCAGCGATTCGCCCGTATCTGGAGCTCAGAGTCTGAGACTCCCCCCTGACCGAAAACGACAACCGCGCTCTCAGCCACCAGCCCGCTTTGCGCGCGCACCTCCGCACCTGAGTTTTTTCCACACTGCGCCTCCTCTGAGCCTCGGTGTGCTGTTATTTTTCCTTCTAGTTGAAGAGTCTCTCCTCAGCCAGCCTTCCTGTGGTTCTGGGTGATGTCCGTTCCGTCTTTTAGTTGTATTTTTGAAGTGGTTGTTTGCGGCAGCAGTCTGCGGTGTTTACCTATGCCGCCATCTTGGTCTCCTCAGAACTACTCATTTCATAGACACCCCCCTCCCCCGTCTCTCCTGTGAATAGGGGAACAATGATTACTTTCTCATAGGGTTATGAGGATTAAGAAAATAGTAGTTCTGTGCTAGCATAGCACTTGCCACTAAGTAGTTGCTTAATAAGTAATTTATTTATAGTTATATATGATAAAATAATTCAATTTTGGGAAGAATTAAGCCACAAAAATGTTACACAGAAGGCCATTTATTTGTCAGACATTTATTAAACACCTACTGTGTGCCTCAGGCACTGTGGAGCATTGAAAATGAATCACATGTTCCACTCTCAGGGGACTGATGTCTGGAAGTGAGACGTTTTATAATTTCCTCAGAAGACTCTACAAGTACAAAAGGGATGCTTCTATCTGGAGTCTTGTACGATGTTGAAACATTGGGATAGAAGGTGCCCAAGTCCTCCAATATGAGTTCTTAAGAAATAAGCAGCCAGCAGGCTCCAGTAGAGCCCTGGGCAGTATTACAACTGCGGGAGAAGCCAAGCATCTCCTCCTGCCCCCACCCCACCCCCACCCCCGGTTCTGACAGCAGCTCTCCTATCACTACAGGAAAGGTGATTGGAAGGTTCTATGGAAAGGATGGGCTCCCCACCTCGGCACTAACCCAGGTAGAAGCCATGATCACCAAAGGCTTGGAGGCAGACAAAGAGGAACTGAAAGAGAAGAAGAAGTTTCCACCATGCAACACGGAGTGGAGCTCAGCCAGGGGCAGCAGGTTCTGGTGTTCCCAAACGAGGTAAGCAGGCTTCCCTTCTGCTGCCTCCGCCGCTCCCAAACCCAACTCCTAGCTCATCCTGTGGTTCAGGGAGGCAGTAAGTTGATTGTTATCCCAGGGGAACTTTTTCAAAATACATGTGTCCTGGGATAGTGATTCTCAACTTTAACTACATGTTAGAATCTTCTGGGCAATTTTAAAAAATTATCAATGGTGGGACCTCACTGCAGGCAACTGGGTGAGAATATTAGGATTGATATCTGGCCATCTTTTTTGTTCTTTCTTTTTTTAATTCCCCAAAGACCCTGCTGAAGAACCCCTGGCAGGGACTGAAAAGTCGCAAGCACTGTTTTCTTGCTTTGGCCTGTTCATCCATCCAAGGGCCTTCGTTTCCTATTTGTCAGCACAAATCATTCCTGCCTTAAGGAGGGATAAGGAGGCGGACATAACCACTTGCGTTGATGCCCTGAGGTGCCCTCTTAAGAATTGCAAATTCTGCCCTAACCGGTTTGGCTCAGTGGATAGAGCGTCAGCCTGCGGACTCAAGGGTCCCAGGTTCAAGTCTGGTCAAGGGCATGTACCTTGGTTGCGGGCACATCCCCAGTAGGGAGTGTGCAGGAGGCAGCTGATCAATGTTTCTCTCTCATCGATGTTTCTAACTCTCTATCCCTCTCCCTTCCTCTCTGTAAAAAAATCAATATAATATGTTAAAAAAAGAACTGCAAAATTCCTCTCTGTAAAAAAATCAATATATTAAAAAAAGAACTGCAAATTCTGAGGAATTCCAGGAGGTACGCTAGATGAGAAGTCCTTGCCTGTAAGAATTGAAGTGAGCCAGATTAGAATAGATGCCACAGGGGATATTCCAGGTTGGTTTGGGGAAACTAGAGAAAAAAAATGGTTTTCCTGCTTTAATGATCAGGCCAGCCTGGATTTAAATACAGTTCAAGTCCCTCAAATCTCCTTTAGCTCTGATAAGGGGACAAGGAGACAGAACTAGACAAACGTCCAGCCTCGAGGGCCTCAAAGTAAGAGCCCAGGTCACTGAGGGTCAGGGAGACCTGCTGTGGCTTCTGCAAGAAGGGCCACCCGCCTTGAGTGCTCCGTTGTGTAGATCCACTCTCTTCTATGGGGAGAGGCACACCTCTTTGCTCTCCTTGAGGCTGATTTCTTGTGTCAAAGCCAGCAGCTTTCTCCAGGCCCAGCCACCGTGTTCATCACATGTTCCCTCCACCGTAATTCAGAGCAGCAGGAAGGAAAGCCTCTTCTCTCCCAGCCACCAGTTTTGCAGAGGCAGCCCCTCCAGGGTTATCATGTCTCCAGAAAGAGGGGCCCTCGCTTTAGGAAGAGGAACTGGGACAAAGGTGGGCCTTGCGGGAACACAATCCTGAATGCAGGTGGCTTCAGAGAGCACTGGTCTCGCCTGGGAGGGGCCCAGAGGCTTGAGTGCATTTAGATGCTTGACTTTGCTCCCTTGGAGAACCTGCCTCCCTCTCCGTCCTCACAGCCTTGTCTGTCTTTGTGTAACGCCCTCTTACTTCCCTGAGTTGCTTAGGCTCTGCCTTCCCCACAAAGCTCTTCCAGACCATCTCCAAGGAGCTTGGCCCCATCCCCGAGCTTCAACCCAATGCATTGTTTTCCACATGTACATACCTCCCTGGAGACTGGGAGTAGCGAGTCCTGAGGAGGGACTGGGTGTGGAGCACGGGTCACTGCGATGGGATGGATGGTTAGAAGGAAGGAGGTGGCGTTTCAGTGCCCTTCCCTGACAGCCTTGCTCTTGGGTAAGTTAACTGGGCAGCAGTTTCTCTGACAGCAAGTGATTCTGGTCCCAGGCACTTGAACCTACATGGGCATCAATTCCAAGAATCTCATTTTTCTCTGCAAGTCTTGTGAGTCCATGGGAGGCTGTACTCAGGACCCTAAGATGAGGTGGGTTCCCTCTGCCCAGGACAGGAGGTTGCTCAGCTATGTTGGACCAGGTGACATCAAGGACTGCACCTGGGCAAGGGTCAGGAAATGGCCTCTCAGAGAAGGCTGACCACCAGGCCTTGTGTTGTTGCCTCAGTTGTCCACCCTACCCAAGTGCCCAAGACCCTAAGATCAAGGCACTAGGATGGAGTGGGAAGGGAAGAGAGAATCAGAGCCAGATACTGCTTTTGAGAAGCTCACAGGCCAGTGGGAGAAAGCCTTTCACTGGTGTTGCCGCCAAAGCAGGGAGTGCTGCCTCCCAGGAAGGCACAGGGTGGGGCGGGGCCAGGGAGCAGTGCCAGGAGGATGCCCTGGGCAGGGGAAGCTGGCGAAAGTTAGGAGAGAGAACAAGGTTCAGGGGCTGAACACTGCAGACCTCCACCTTGGGAAAACGTCAAGATGGCTCACTGCTTCCTCCTCCCCCACCCCCACCCCCGACAGACTCTAAGTCCCTCTCCTTCTATCTTCAGTGGAGGTGTGAGCAGAGACTGGACTGGTGTCCCCAGGAAGCTGTACAAGCCAGGTGCCAAGGAGCCCCACTGTGTGTGTGTGAGAACAACCGGTCCCCCTAGTGACCCAGCACCGGACAACCCTACACACAGAGATCGTGGGGACTTGGACCACCCCAACTTGGAGGAATATATAGGCTGCCCACCCCTGGCCATTACATGCTCTTTCCCACTCTAAGCTGGTGCCCTACCTGTTGATAACCCACAGAGAAGCCTAAAGAGCCCTGACTCACGTGCACTAGGATGGCTCCTGACATCGAACAAGGGGGCCTGGAAGGACTCTGGCCTCTGCAATGTAGCCCATGACCCTCACCAGCGGCTCACCATTCTGGTGACCGAGGCCAAAGCTCAGCAACTCGCCTAGTACTGGTCAGCCCGTTTTTGCCACTGTTTCCCCAGATCTACTTGCCATCCTCCTTCAGAGCCCTTGAATGTTAATGAACACAAATATGACCAACTCAAACCTAACTGGACAGACAAGCAAAGGGCTGTAAGCTCCAATCCTTCCCATGGACTCCCAGGCTGCCAGATCAGCTGCTGGCCTCGTCAGGGGCACTGGCAAAAAGGGACGACATCACTCTCTTACAACTCAGAAACAAGAGGATACATCCAGAAAAGACCAAAAAGGAATGAATGAATGAATGAATAAATAAATAAACAAACAAATACATTAAAAAAAACCGGCATCAACATACTCTTCCAGGTTCCCCGATGGCTAAACTTGTTACCCCTGACTTTTATAACCTTTTTTCTTTCCTTTTTTGTTAATACTCAACGAGGATATTTTTAGGGAGAGTAGAAGAGAGAGGGAAAGAGAGAAACATCGATGTGAGAGAAACACATCGACTGGTTGCCTCTGCACAAGCCCTGACTGGGAAGGAGCCTGCAACAAAGATACATGCCTTGACTGGAATCGAACCCAGGACCCTTTGGTCCGCAGGCCGATGCTCTATCTACTGAGCCAAATCAGCTAGGGTTGTAACCTTTCTTATATGTGACTCTTCCCTAATTTACAACCAAAAGCTGCATTGAGTTGATATGAGCTGGGCCAATACAGTCAGAGGTGACAATAAAAAAGAGTAGACTAATTCTGGAAACTGGAAAAGCTTTTGCTTATATAGATGCAGCAAATCCAGATGCCTCTTTAAATTTAAAGCAAGGATACTGTTTCTATTTCAAAAACTTAAAATAAGGTGTGCTGTGTTTTCAAAGGGAGAATTCTGCGTTTTTGGCGAAAGGTAGTTTCAGAGCTCTAACAAGGTAACGGGCTAGCACAACATCAGCGTTTGCGCAAGGCTGCAAATGCCAATACAAACAGCCTCAATTTGCCGCTATCCGGGCTCGCAGCTCTTCCAGTGGGTTGTGTGCAGCGCCAGCACGGCCAGGTTTGGTGAGTCTAAGGGGGTGGTGAAGGATTAGGAAAAGACAGACAAAAGAAAGCTGGGTCTGGGTGGGACGCTGCCCTCTCTGATGAAGAGACAGCATCAGGGCCTGCAAACCGAGTCTTTATTTTATAGACAGTTTCCATGAGGCAAAGTAAGGGCGTGGTTACAACATTCTTGTGGGTTTCGAATCTACTCAGTATCACTTAGCCACGTGGGACCACAGGTTCGGACCGTAGGTTCAAGCTTACAACTATAGCCTTTGGCTATAATTGTGCTGGGACTTGCACGTGGCAAAGCCACGAGAGGATCGTGCCCTCTCATTAGTCCCAGGCTTGAACCTGTCCAAACGCTGTAGCCGCTCTCCACAGGTTGTGTCCAAGGTCACTGTAATCTACACTTGACATAGTTCATACCCATAACTCCTGGATTCTTGTTGAGTAGACAGGGGCAAGGAGTGTTTCTACCTCCGAGATAAGGCAATAAAGCTATTAGACACGGTTTCTCCTCATCTGAGCCTTCACCTCCACTCCTTTCCCAACCCCCTCAACTCTTTTTTTTTTTAATATGTTTAAATTGATTTGAGAGGGAGAGAGATATAGAAACACCGATGAGAAATTAACATTGATAGCTGCCTCCTGCACACCCCCTACAGGGGATTGAGTCCGAAACCTGGGCATGTGCCCTGACCAGGAATTGAACTAGTGACCTCTTGGTTCATGGGTCAAACACTGAGCCACACCAGCTGGATTCAACTCTTACTTTAAACATCCTCTATTCTTCTTCCTTTCTTTCGTTTATAATTAATCTCACTAAATAGCTTTCCAGATTCACTGGCTAGAAAATGGAGGCTGCCTCCCCTACAAGGGCAGTCTCATGGTTCACTGCCCTTGTGGCCACACCTGCTCCTTACACCGGACTCTGCTCTTGACTCATTTTCCCACCCAGGATCTTCCTCACCTGCCCTTCCTGTACCTTTAACCTCTCCCTGCCTAAGTCCGGAAGAGCGCACTCTTCTGTGGCCCTTATCTATTCCTGCCATAGATAAGCCTCTGAAAAAGCTGCAGGTACTCACTGTCTTTGCTCCTCAGCCCCCATTCGCCTGGCTCCTGCCCTTCCCTGATCAACAGCAGGTAACTTCAGTGTTGCTACGTCCCATGGCCCCATTCCTTAAAAGCTGCCTCTCCTCCATGAACCCCTTCCCACGAGCTCTTCTCACGCCTTGGGTCTAGTCCAGATGCCTTTCCCGAGCAATTCAATAGGCACCTCAACTCCTCCTTCCTGGCATTCAGTCTTCATCTTCTCCCTCAGCCTCTCCCCCACACCCTACATCCTCCACTCACTGCATGTGTCCACAATGCCTTCCACCTGGAATGATACCTCTTCCTCCGCTCAATTTGTCCCTCTTATTACTTAAAAATTCAGCTCAACAGCACCTCTTGGGAGCCTTCATCAACCCTTGGCCCACCAGTTGGATTTAGGTGCACCTGTTCCCACAACACAGGTCCCATGTGCTCACTTCTCAGATAACAAGTCTGTTCTGTAACCATGATTTCCTATCAGCCTCTCACTCTGAACTGCAGACTGAGAACAGGGACCAAGGCTACTGGGTTCGGTACCCCTATAGCCACAGTTCCTGGAGCACGTGGTACGTGTGCCGTTAGCTCGTTTTGGAGAGGAGGCAGCCAAGGTCCAAAAACTTCCTAAGGGCACAAAGTCGTGGAGCCGAGCCTCGGACTCAGGGTTCTCGTCCTGACTGTGCTATTTTCACTCCCGCAGTTTGGCATGTCACTGCCCTCCCTGGAGCAGGAGCAGAGAGCTGAGGTTAGGACCTTCCTTGCTCTGCATCCCATTCAGCCCCTGAGGCATCTCAACTCCAAGCTAACTGGGAACTAGTCACTGCCACTGCGCTGGTTGTCCTTAGTCATTCAACAAATATTTGCCAAACACCCCTGTGCCACGGAGTGGAGGATGGGAGGAAAGCCAGGTTCCTGGCCTCAAGGAGCTTACAGTATGGTAGAAATATAGGGATAGTGT